TATCTAGAGCTTATTTTCTTCCGGTACCTCTTGACAGTGTGATAAAATATACTTTGGTGACCACTTTCTGAATGGCTGAAAGAAGCCCATAAAAAATTTCTATTCTAGCTGAGTGTCAGTGGCTCACACCTGTCATCCTAGCTAGTTGGAAGGCTCAGATTGGGAGGAGAGTGGTTCAACACCAGCCTGGTCAAAAAGTTCCCCAGACCCCATTTCCAAAATAACAGAGCAAAATGGATTGGAGGCATGGGTCAAGTGGCAGAGCACCTGCTTTGCAAGTGCAAGGCCCTGAGTTCAAACCCAAGTCCCACAAAAAAAATTCTAAGCTTTCATCACATAGCTTAACCACTTACAAAATATTTCTCCCCTACTAAAGTCTACCTTTCAACTTGTTGAAGCTCTTGTTAACAAGACAATCTGTGTGTGTGTGTGTGTGTGTGTGTGTGTGTGTGTGTTTTGTATGCACTGCTGGGAACTGATCAGGCCAAAGTCTTGCTAACATGCTAGACTGGTATGCTATCACAGAGCCAAATCCCCAGACTAACAAGATAGTTCTCTTTTTTTTTTTTTTTTTAAACTCAGGGCATCACAGATGCTAGGCAGTTGCTCTACTGCTTCAACCACACCTCTAGTCCTTTTTGTTCTGGTTATTTTGGAGACAGGGTCTTACTTTTTGCCCAAGCTGCCCTGGACCATATAATCCCCTGTTTAAGCTTCCCACTGTAGCTATGACAAATGTGCACCACAATGCTTAGCTTTTTTCCACTGAGATGGGGGTCTCTCGATCTTTTTGACTGGGCTGGCCTGGAACAGCAATTCTCCTGATCTCAGTCTCCCAAGTAGCCAGGATTACAGGTGTGGACCACCGCACCTGGCTGTAACCCCACTAACTCATGAACTCCAAGTCCAAAATATAGACAAAGGAATGAGATAAAATATTTTCTAAAATGTCAAGATTTATACCTGACCAAAGCATAATTTAATGTGCATATTCTGTGTTTGCATGTCTCTCTATAATAAGAATAATTTTCACATAAAAACACTAATGTATAAGATTCAAAGTAGAATGAAGTAAATTTCTTTCTGACTTTAATTTTATACACTACATAGTTACATTACTTACTTTAATAGCTATATTCAAATGAATATGTTTCAAAGAACCACCAAGAATCTAAAACTAAATCAAGCATCCTTTCTTTTCCTCTAATAAAATAAAAAATGTAGAGGTAACAGAGAAAAGTTTATATATTTCATTCTGCTTTCATTAAACAATTTTAGAAATCATCTATTAAACACTCTTCCCAAGCACAAACAATGCACTAGGCACTGATCTTTACAAAAACCTGATGGTTTGAAAGACCAAACATCCAAATATTGCTTGAATTTGCTGTACAACATCACCACCAGGTGGTGGTTTATGTCTTTTGTTGGCAAACCTTTATCAATAGGAACGGCAGTCCACTGTATCTTCTGACGCTGATTGTTTGACATAATTATACAACAAAAAACGTTGTCTAATGACAATTTTATCTAATGGTTCTATTTTTCTTTTGGGGGACCATACAGAACTAATCATTCTTCTATATGACAGCCCTTTCAATATTCTAAAATGACCATAAGCCTCAACTCTTCTTCAACCTAAATATCCAAACTTAACTCAGCTATTTCTCACAGTTTTAAATTTTTTTCTCATGACAACTTTTGATAAAGAATGAAAACACAAGACGTTAATTTCTAAGTTTACAATAATTTGCAAAACTACACATATCTCCAGTCACAGTTTAAATACAGATCTGCATTTTATTATTGCCAAATGTCTTGTGCAAACACTCATAAGTAAGTCTACATGAAGATAATGCGTTAACATTAGCAGGGATTCATTTGATATTTTAAAGATATTTTCTATGCATTAGATACTTTCAACAAATAGTTTTCAATTTTTTAATAATAGCAACAATAACCAATTTAGAAAATTTAAATAAACCCTAATTTTAACAGTAGAGCTAACTCTTCTTGATAATATAATCTCTGAAATCCTAGAAAATTAACCGTAAGATCTCATGCTTGCAGTAAGCTGGCCCAGGTACATGTGTAAACATATGTGTACGAACATACACACAGCTGTACTAAAGAAGAAAGCTGTAACTGATGTTTTTTATATAACTGTCCTCTGGCTAAGAATGAAGGATTTCACAATTTCTTTTTTTTTTTTTTTTTTTTGTCTTTTCTTTTTTGGTGCTGGGATTGAACCCAGGGCCTCGCGCATGCTAGGCAAGGGCTGTACCACTGAGCTACATCCCAGCCCCGGATTTCACAATTTCTAATAGAAGAATTTCTATTCTGCTACAATACCAATCAATCAATATTATACCTACATTTAAATAATATTTGTATGGTACAAGTATATCCTCAGTTATTAGTTAATATCCTTAGTTTATATCCTTAGTTATTAGTTTATGAAAATGTGTGGTGGAAGTTACTATATAATCTGATACTAACCTTCAATACTACTAAATTCAGACATGGTATTTCCTATGAAGGAGATGAATGGAACCAGTAGCAGACAAAGAAATATCAATTTCAATTTAATAATTCAGTTAATACTTGAATATTACTTGAATAAATGCTAGAGCAATATCATGTAATACTTGAGTATTTTAGAAGCTTAAAAACTTAAAATATAACTTAAATAACTTGTCAGTATCACATTCCAATGACAGGTCTTATAATAAGATTTATTCTGGGAAGAGCAAATAAGAAATTCAATGTTGCTTTACATTTTGTTCTACTGAACAAAAGGTTACTTTAGTACTAAATAAGCTTCAATGAACTTTCTTAAATGGTCAAGCCATTCACATGGCAATGCATTCACAGGGAGCATTATATTCTGCTTTTGAGCTCATTGTGAGCAAGAATAGCTACCTAGGCAAGAAAAGTTACACATACAATATTACATTTTGAGAACTCTGCACATTACAAGTAGGCAATAATTTATTCATTTAGAAAAAAAGGGAATATTCTACTGAACTTGCTAGGATTTCTATTTTCTGACATTCCTCAGCTTCTTAGGTAGTAACTCCATACAAGTTATTTACTGTCCGATTCAGACTATAGTTATGAGTATATGAAAGATGTTCTGCACAAATAAATCTAATAATTCACATTTATTTCATTATGCAACAAACTGCTTTATCTTTTAGTCACTTATTTTCTAAAAAAAACTTTACTTTCCAGTTTTCTTGAAAAAAATTGAAACAATTTAATCATTTCCTACAGGTTATACTCTAACCTGAGCATGAACAGTATTTGTACAGTGGTATGGTTCAGCTTTGAACTTACGTTCTCTCACCTTTGCTTAATGCCATCAGTGTGTTCTTGAGGCTTCTGATGCCTTCCATGAGAAATTCAGGATATAAGCTTATGGGAATATAAGCTTAAAAGGCCTGGACTTTGTGAAAACTGACTACTCTAAGGTCTTTTTCTCTTCCTCTTTGCACCTCTATCGCTTGTTTTCAAATGATTAAAGTTATCACAGGAAAAGCACAGCAAAATAGGCTGTTGACAGTAGGAAGCGAGTTCTAAAGAACTCTGAGTAATTGAACATGGAGTAGAAAAACAGCTTCCCTTACAAGGTAGCCTTAGCTAACTTGTGCAATGCAATCTCTAGCCTTTTCCCCTCAGAACAAGAATTACATAATGTACTCACTTTAGCTTTTTCTAAATCTTTTATTCGATACTATTCTTTTCCCCAGATGATTTTATAGCATACTCTCCATTAGAAACATGAGTGTAAGAGGGTTATATAACTGTGACTGCATTACATGAAACAATGTAAATGTTTAACATGCACTGATATAAAACAAGCACCAAGGAAACCTAATCTGAGTTAGAGGGGAAGGGCACAGCAGTAGTCATGGTACAGATACATAATTTTGTCTGGCTGTTTGTAAGGCTAACACAAGAGAACGTCTGAAAAGTTTTGAGAAATCCCAAGAGCATCAGAAATATGAATAAACTTCACAGCATATAAATTAGAAGAATTACAGAAAAATCTACATTCCTTTCTTTCTACATAAAAGGAAACAAAACACAAAAATTATGTAATTTTTTTCACCTTGTTAATTAAACATTAGTAACAAACTGCAGTTAAAATTTCTGTCTAAAAAAAACTGATGATCTGCTTCTCTCTACCAAAGAAGTTCCTAAGACTCAAGTTTTATGGAAACTATTCTAAGCCATCAAAGATGAGGTGCTTGCATAATGGATAACTTGATTCTCTTAGTTGCAACAGATTCTCAATGCTTTGAATTAATTTTATCATGAAATAGGAAAAATGTGAGATTGTATTTGAGTAACTAAAAAAATTCTTATTTTACTTTCAACTTTTCCTAGTAGAGATGAGAAGAAACCAAAAAGGCATTTAAAAGAGTAGTCCTATTAACTTATAAGACTTAAATAAATTAAAATTGCCATCTTATTTCTGCTAGATGGTTACGTCAAAAACTACTGATTTGAAGGAAGAAATTAAATAAGAACAAAATACCTTGGGGGAAAAAACTTATCTTTTAAAAGTTATCAGTGTGCCATCCCAGCACACTCGGGAGGCAGAGGCAGAAAGATTGCAAGTTCGAGGCTAGCCTAGGCTACGTGAGACCCTGTCTCAGAAAAAAAAGTTGTTGGCTTTTTTCCACATATAACCTCAAGCCATCCAGTTAAAACATCTTCAATGTCTTACAGCTGAGAATATACAATAGAAATTACTGAGTTAAAACTATTCAAAGATGATAGAAACTTCCTAGTGTCATCTATGACTCACTATACACATAGAAGTTACTCCAGTAGCTAAAGGAATCATAAAATACAGGATGGATTCTTTCCTCTTTTGATTTTTGGGCCAAATAAATTATTTGTTCCCTTACCTGTAAAATGGCATGAGGTGGAACACTGTGGAAATCTACAATTGGCAAATGTTATACAAAAATTACAAAATTGATCCATACCTTGTTTTAATTCCAAACCTTCTGGTTGTTTGTTCTCCCTCAGGGATGAAGAAGAATCTATACATGTGTCTTGCCTGAGAAATGAAAATAAATAAAAACAATTTAAAAACCATACTCAATCAAACTTTTACTGCCCAAGTTCCTAGAATTAAGTTAGGCACTTGGGAAGATACAATGGATTCTCCTAAGCCCCAGGGTATAATTTAGTACACTCCAGAGACTCAGAAACATATACACAAGTGTCAGAAGTAACAGCTACAAACTACTACCAATTTAAACAATGCATTTCTTCGTAAAATCAAGGGGTATACCTGGAGGGAACATGGAGGTTATTTTTTTCTCCTTTCCAATACTCCATAGGGTATCTGATGAGAGAAATCACCACTCACAGTAGTATCCAATAATTTTTCAAGTACCACTGTTAAATTTAATGGATATTTTGGAATTGAAATTACATTATATCCATCTAATTTCATACCTCAAATGCTTTGATGTCTACAATTCGTGGAAAACACATATTTTATATGTAATGTATACATGTAATCAAAGCAAATGGATTAATGTAAGATCATGCAAAAACGTTTCAATTCAATACATTCTGATAGCTCTGCAAACTAAGCTGATGCTTTCCTAAGACAGCATTAGACCACCTTAATTTTGATGCTACAAGTAACTTTTCAGCAAAAAAGTCAAGAAACTGTAAATATTCAAATGAGGTAAGAAACTACTTCTTAGAAACAGGTACCTATAACCTTCTAGGAATTTTTATACATACCCTAAGATTGACATACTAGAAATATTTAAGGAGTTTTCCTATTCTCTAAACTATTTCTATCCAGTTATAATAACAAATCCACCAAATAATGCAAGGATTAAAAAAAGACTGTGATCATTTATTTTTAAAGTTTGTAATATTCTTCCCAATCAACATACATATTTGGTGTGTATATGTTTATTTTGGTATTAACTGTAAAATCTGAGGCATTTGTAATTGTCATATCTCCATTTCTTATAGTTATGTGTTGTCAAATATTACCTACTGAGTTTTCACTGTCACCAAAATGACTGGCAAAATCCAAGGAGGTTATCAACAACAATTCTCTTTGACAATCTAAGGACAAAATCAAGCACTCAGCAATAAAGTTAAAACGTGCTACCTCAAGCATTCCACTAAAATTAGTGTTTTCCTATTGAGAACATTAATCTTACATCAACCTTTAAAGAAAATTTTTGTTTCTGCACATCTCTGAATAGCACTTAATTCTTCATTACACAGATACACCTACATTTACAAAAAAGTATACATGTCAAAACATAATACGCTATCCCATAAAAATGTGTAATTTTTGTGTCATTACATATCAGTTAAAATTTAATTAAAATAAATTTACAAAAACACAACTTCAACAAAAATGTAATGTGAAACGAATTCAACAAAAGGAATGCTGGAGGATGAAGAGGATGGAGGAAGGAATTCTTATATGCTGTTGGTGGGAATGTAAGTTAGCACAACCACTATAGAAGTAAGAACGGAGGCTCATCAAAAAAATTAAAAATAGACCTACCTTATAACCCTGCTATATATACTAAAGAGTGTAAGTCAACATAAAGAAAGATATCTGCATACCAATGTTTATTGCAGTATTATTCACAATAACCAAGCTATGGAATCAGACTAGATGCCCAACAACTCATGGATAAAGAAAATGTGGAACATATACACAATGGAGTATTAGTCAGTCAAAAAGAAAGAAATAATGTCATTTGCAGGAAAATGGACTGAACTAAAGATTATCATGCTGAACAAGATAAACCAAGTTCAAAATGCCAAAAGTTCAAAAGGACAAAATATCACATGCTTTCGTTCATATGCAGATCTGAACCTAAATTGATAATACCAACAATAATAACAGGACATGAGAGTAAAAGGGTCTGGGGAGGGGCAGAATCAGCAGTAGGGGAAAGGAGACAGTACTGGGGTGTGAGCATGATTGAAGTATATAATATATGTATATGAAGATAGCACAATGAAACCCACTAAATACTGTTTGAAAGGGAAAATGAGGCTAAGGGAGTAAAACAGAGAGGGTAAAACTAATCAAAGTACATTGTTCACATCTATAGAAATACCACAATGAAACCCCTTTGTAAAATTAACATATGTTAATAAATAGTAGATGGAAATAAGTAATACTCTAAGAAAGACACATTACCTATGCATTCTAGCTGAGAATGTATAATCTATATTAGGAATAATCAGACAAACCCAAAGGAAAATGAGTAATATTCTAGTAAGGAGAGTTCAGTGTCAATGTTGTAGAAGAACAATACGCTGCAGAAATATCTCAAGTTAAAGGAGGCTTGTTCATGTCAATGAAATGTTATAACTGACCTGAGACTGCTGAACTACAGGGGGAAATGTTATAAAGAATATTACAGAACCAAAAAACAATGTGAAATACTGATGGGGGACTGAAAAAAACTATTTTATCAATTTTAAATTTCCTGAAGTTGACACTTGCAGTTTTATAAGAGTATCACTGTTCTTTAGAAAAACACAATGGAGCATTTAGAGGCAAAATGTCATGATGTATCTAACTTAAGCCTCAACACAAAGGTGTGCAAATAGTGTACAATGTTAATAGGTAAACCTAGTTAAAAGCTGTATGGATGTATCCTGTAGTAGTATTCTTGCAACACTGAAATTATTTCCAAATAAAAAACTTAATGAAAAAAATTAAAAAATTAAGTAATAAAGCAATGAAAACTGGTCAAAAACCCTTAAATATCCTTTAAATAAAATTAAGATGCCTCTATAAAGATTATCTGCTGTCATAAACAATTATTTACATTCCCAATATGAACTTTTATAAAATTATATTTTATAAGTTAGGTTTGAACAGGCTGTTGAAGTCAATAAACAAAATTTCAGATACTAGGTATAGTACACCACCCTGTGGTCGAAAAGTGGAAAGTTCAGTGCTTTTATAACAGTATTATCTGAATTTTTTTTTTTAAGTTTTCAGTGGTTTAAAATTTAAAAATCAATAATTTTCCTAAGATGTAGGCATTACAATTAAAGTTGTCATACAAGTTTAAGAGTTCTCTGATATAATTTTAAAATCTCCATTAAATAGCATGAAAGGCAAGGTATTTACAAAAAAGGAACTATCTTAATACCTTCAAGTGCAAGAAAACAAGAAGCATTTATGACTTTATTTGTAATTTTATGAAAATAAAAGTCTAACTCCTAAACACCATAAACAGCATCAGCAATGTCGCAGATTACAAAATCAACTTACAAAAATTATTACTTTTCTATACACCAACGATGAACAAATTGAGAAAGAATATATGAAAACAATACCATTTATAATAGCCTCAAATAAAATCAAATACCTACAAGTAAACTTCTCTACAAGAAGAACTACAAACCCCTGAAGAAAGAGACTGAGGAAGACTACAGAAGGTGGAAAGATCTCCCGTGCTCTATTGGTAGAATCAACATAGTAAAAATGGCTATACTCCAAAAAGTAATCTACATATTTACTGCAATTCCCATCAAAATTCCAATGACATTCATTAAAGAGATTGAAAAATCTACCGTTAAATGTATATGGAAACACAAGAGGCCACGAATAGCCAAGGCAATACTCAGTCAAAAGAACAATGCTGGAGGTATCACGACACTTGACTTCAAACTGTATGACAAAGCAGTAGCAATAAAAACAGCATGGTTCTGGCACAAAAACATATATGAAGACCAGTGGAACAGAATAGAGAACCCGGATATGAATCCACACAGCTATGCCCACCTTATTTTTGACAGAGGTGCCAAAAACATACGATGGAGAATAGACAGTCTCTTCAACAAATGTTGTTGGGAAAAGTGGTTATCTGCCTGCAGAAAACTGAAACTAGATCCATGCCTATCACCCTGTACTAGTATGAACTCAAGATTGGATTAAGGATCTTAATATCAGACTGGAAACACTGATGTTAGTACAGGAAAGAGCAGGGAATACTCTGGAAGCAATAGGTATAGGCAAGGACTTCCTCAATAGAACTCCAGCAGCCCAGCAACTCAGAGAAAGGATGGACAAATGGGACTACATGAAATTAAAAAGCTTCTGCACAACAAAGGAAATGCCTATAGAGTGAGATAAAATATTCACTGGTTATACATCAGACAAAGGACTGATAACCAGAATGTACAGGGAACTCAAAAAACTAAACTCCCCAAAAATCAATGAACCAATAAAGAAATGGGCAACTGAACTAACAGAACTTTTTCAAAGGAAGAAATCCAAACGGCCAAAAAACACATGAAAAAATGCTGACCATCCTTGGCCATAAAGGAAATGCAAATCAAAACCACACTAAGATTCAACCTCACTCCTGTTAGACGAGCTATCATCAAGAATGCCACCACCAACAAATAATGGTGAGGATGCAGGAAAAAGGAACCCTTATACACCACTGGTGGGAATGTAAGCTAGTACAATCACTTTGGAAAACAAGATGGAGGCTTCTTAAAAAACTAAACATAGATCTGCCATAAGATCCAGCAATACCACTGCTAGGGATATACCCAAAGGAATACAACTCAGGTTATTCCAAAGGCACCTGAGCATGCATATTTATTGCTGCACTGTTCACAACAGCCAACGTATGGAAACAGCCAAGATGCCCCACTTCTGACAAATGGATTAAGAAAAAGTGGTATTTATATACAATGGTATTTTACTCAGCCACAAAGAAGAATGAAATTTTGTCATTCACAAGTAAATGGATGGAACTGGAGAACATCATCAGAAGGCCAAAAATTGTATGTTCTCCCTCATATGTGGACTTTAGACCTAAAACAAATATAGTAGTATTATTGGACATGGGTCACATGCTAAGAGGAGAACACATACAGGAGGAATAAGGAAAGGGAAGGAAACCTAAAACTTGGAAGTGTTTGATGTGCCCACTGTAGAGGAGCGAATATAGTAATCTTAAACTGACAGAGGTCACTATGGGAAGGTGACTGGGAAGTAGTGAAGAGGTCTGGTAGAGATGCACCAATTCG